GATGGAATTCCTCTAGCCCCGTAGGTTCCTCATCAAAAATCGGCGGACCGTCGTAGAGATCGTCCACTTCGTCGGTAAGACGCTCCTCCACCTCTTCGGGTCCTCCATCAAACACAGGCGGACCATCGTACAATGGCCCGTCAACCTGCTCTTCGTCGAATTTGGGGATATCAACGCGAAACGGGTCTTCCCATTGACCATATCCGCGATCAAGTCCCCAATCGTGTCGGGCACGATAACCGCCGGCGAAGTCGCCATCCTCGATGTCGTTCAAAGGTGGCGGGGACCGCTGCCGGGGCGCCCCGACATTGTTGCGTCCCCCCACAACCGTCTATGTCTCCCCAGCAAAAGCCACGGCCCACAGCTCCATCGCGGTTCGTTTGCAATTCCGAAACAACCACGTTGTTAAGCCTCAAATGCAAGTCCTCGATCCCCGTCGAAAGATCGACAAACCAATCCGTGAAACGCACATCCAACTCTTGAAATCGGTAGTCAATCTGTTGAAATCGATCGTTGAAGATTGCATCACGTTGTTTGTTTGCGGCATCTTCTCGTCCCAGCGACATTGCGAATCGTACTGATTGCAACTAATGTAGGGAAGCGTACGAGTGGGAAAAATAAACGAATAAACGAGATACTCTCTTGTAAAACACGTAAAACTCAACAATGTCTTTTTTTCATTCAAAATCAACTCTCATAATAACAAAACACAAAAACTCTTTAAATAAGACTCTTAAACTAAACCCTAACTTATTATCAAAGCTAAATAATAATAATAATAATAATAATAATAATAATAATAATAATAATAATAATAATAATAATATTTATTAAAGTATCCACATCAATAATTCAGCTTAATGGGGGAAAATAATGGTTTTGAATACCCAATCATGAAGAAAAAAAAAATATAGATAGATTTACTCAACATTTTCCTGAATGAAGGAACATGTGCACGGCAAAGCACTATGAACATACCGATAATCCTTAGTGATGTTAGTGTACCAGTGAACCTTCTGTCCGAAAAAAAAAATCATATGTACATCGATCTAACAAAAATGACTTCATGCACCTTCAAAAGCCGATTTTCCACAGCCCTGAACCCATTAAAAGGGATTCAATAGAGAGATAAGTCGAACATGATATCTACTTCACCAATTTTTGCAAATGTAAATGATCTAGATTCTCTTGTAGAAGAGGACATAGGCAGCTTGTGTCTTTATCTGCTCATCAGTAATAGGCGATACATGGCTGTCATCGAACTCATACCACCTATCAAGCTTATGCTGCAGGACCCAAAAAATAAATTATTAAATTACAAACAAATGAAAGTATAGCATTTAACGCCATTCTAAATGTGTAGACAACTCATAAAATGCATCTCATTCATAACCGAAGTTGGACAATTATATGAAATTTCACAAAACTCAATTTCATCACCAAAAATGTAATGATAAAGAAGTTAAAACAACAAATACATTCAGCCCAAAGACAAATTAGTCAGACTCAACACTTACTTTAGCAAATGCAGTATAATGACCACCACCCATGCCACCATAGTGATTACTCACAGCAAATAACATGTAATTATGGCCAACAGTGTTATTCTTCCGAATAACATAATTAGAGAGATCAAATTTATCAACGGGGAAGTCCACAAAGGCCTCGAGCTTATTTTTCAAGAATCTGGTGTACGAAAACCTCTTTAAATGAATGACGAGAATCTCCGGTAACCTCCAAAGATCCAACTTTTTGCTAGCCTGCCTGTGCTCCTTGCAATTAGGGCAATACCTACAACAGAATACCCAGTTAAGATGACCAATATTATACCGTGATTAAAATTGAAAAATGTATAATACAACAAGCCATGGTCAAAATAAGGATACCAACACATACCACATGTCTTCCAGTCCAAGAGGCTCCTCCTTCAAGAATGCATCAACACAATTATACAGTGAAATAGAATCTTGATTCCCCTTGGACAAGAACTCAGTCTTGCAAACTTTCGGCAACGATCTCAGAATCGTAGTATTATACTTGAAAACCATTTTCTCTGGCCAATATACGATCACTTTGATTAGCTGGCCAGAACTTGAAATGGGCACAGGCTCATCCATCTGTATCCTGACGGGATTCAAATGAACAAAAGGTCTCTCCAAAATAAACTTAAAGTCATCCAGAGCATCTGAATCTCTTTCATTATTCGAGACTGAAGCCTCTCCGAAAAATCCTTCCTCTACCACTTCATCTTCATGGGACCTCTTTCGTGAGGCATCACCGTTCAAGAGCTCTTCTCCAGACAGTAACAGTGGATTAATGAGGTTAAGAAAATGTTTACGCAAATGGGACCCTTCAGAAAAAATAGGTATCCTTGCAATGAGAGGGATGCCAAACTTCTCGTAAAGGAAATTATACCCGTATGACCTGACCGCATCATAATAAAATTAAAGCACTCGTCAGTAGTTATTATCCTATTAAGCAGCTGTAACATTACCAGCATCTATTTTGAACCACCATTTGTTATATTGTAGGGTATTTTCTTGGACAAGGACCAAGCAGCTAGTTGAACTTACTTCCTCTCCTCTTGATGCATAAACACGAACAAAGAAGATCCATCCATATCTTTTGGCAATCTATAGGCAACAAGTTTGTCACAATCTTTAATCCGCTCAACTGAATCACCAGGGTCATTGAAAATCTTGTAGATAGAGTGGTTGTATATCTGCACAGGCCATTGCAAGTCGATAACGGATGCAAATAAACAGTGAATACGGCTCATTAAAAAAGTAAATTTCTGATATTCACGTATTCTCATCAAAATGAATAAAGTTCAAAATGGAAACAAATGTAAAAAACTGTGATATATAGATGAATGATAAAAGAAGAGCCAAGGGGCCTATGGCTCAAGGCCCACTATAGTTATCACTGGTCAACTGGGTGTACTCTAAAGGCCAAAGGAGAAAAAGGATAAGCATGCCATTGCCAGGACATGTTAAGACACTTGCGCTAACCAAGATAATGACCAATAAATTAACAAACTGGAATAAGAACTTCAAAAAGCGCAGAAAACACCATGAAGTGGAAAGAAGCAAGATTTTCAGTCCGGACCGGTCATTGAACAGGTCAAGCTACAAGTTTAATGGTTTATTGATCGAACCAGTGGTTCAAACAGTTGGATCAATACTTAACTTATTAATATTTTTAAATATATATAGTACTTTAAGTATAAAATTTTATATAATATTCAGATAATTTATCATTCAAAAGACTAAACTAATTTATATACTAATTTATATATCCAATATATTTAAATATGTATTTTTATTTATATCAAAAATATTGTTTTAAATATTAAAACTAACTAAAAACTTTGGACCAGTCTGACCGGCAGGTTTTTGGCGGGTTATGATCGATTCATTAGCAACTGGACCAGCCGGTGGACTGGTTCCCCGTCCAACCGGTAACCAGCCTGACCAGTTAGGTTTTGAAACTATGCAAAGGAGAATCTTTATCAGAACTGTAATGACACTTCAAAAATTACCATAAAACATGATAAGTGTTTTCACTTAAAGAAGGTGAGAAAGTTATAGAAGTGACTAATCATATCGTAATCAATTAACTCAATAAATTTAAAACCTTTTTCTGATAATGCATCATAAATTGTAAGAAAATGTATGTCTTTCTACTTAAACATACAATGATTACGCATGCGATGTATCCAGGTTAACTCAACAAAACGAATGCGGCACATGAGAACACTTCCATCATGAGCAATCAAATTCACATACCAAGACACTGTGACACTGTCTTTAATGCCTTGCCAAAACAAAACTCCAAACAATAATTTAATCTTCATAAAGAACTTAAATATATGAAATAGTAATATATATATATATATATATATATACATATATATGTGTGATAGACAATCTTTGAGCATAAACAACACTAATCAGATCAATGAGGAACTAGAATTTGTTGGGACAATTTTCTCCTAAATACACTTAGCGAATTATAATTTATAGGACGATCATAAATTTCAGAAAATGATGGATGTTTCCACAATAGAAAAAGAATTTAATCAAAATCCTGAGTCCTGATAATAGGTGTTAAAATATACCTCAGCAATTAATAGTGTTTCGTCGTCCCTCAATAAACAAGCTATTCCCAGGGCCTCATCAAGATCTTTGAGGGTCCCATCGTTTGGGACTCTTATTGTAACTGGATGTGGCAAGGTAGCTCCTTCAGTGCTCAAGACTGTCACAATCATCTTTCGTGATTTTGAACAAGGAACCGGCAGCGACAGGTACATAAATGGATCAAATGTAATGGACAACTTTTTGCAAACGGGACAAACCAGTGTTGATCTATATTGACCCTACACATTAAAATAAAGAAATTGAGAAAAAATTAATCAACCCTATTTCAAAATTTAAAATGAATGAAATAAAATATTCCAATAATCAAAAGCTAATAAACATTTTATGGATACCAACCAAAGTAGCAACTGCAAACAGAGTATCACTCTACACATTAGAATGAGAAATTTAGAAAATTGGAACACTATTTCCATCCTTGTAACTTCCTGGAGACTAGGAGAGAAAGAAGAATACTTGGCATAGATCAACAATGATTGAATCATTGCGAGATAAATGGTTTTCCCAGCATTCATCCGCCACTTCATCGTCAGGACGACCATCTTCTTCTTTTGCTTGTACATATGGTTTTGTCTTCACACGGTTGAGATCTTCATGGAGACCATCAAACAAAAAAGAAAGGAATTCCTACAAAAAAGTTGAGCATATCAAAATTTCCACTTACAAATACTAATCGAACATCTGGCTTGAAGGCTGCGGCACTTACTTGGGAATCATGCTGGTTGTACCCACTAAATTGAGGAGCAAAACTAGCAATAGTGGACTTGAACATCCTCGGAGCTACTGGTGTGGCCCCTGGGACCCACAACATTCTTAGTAAGTTCCCGAATGCTATAGCAAACTTGCCCTATCATAACAACACTCAGCATTTAGAAACGTAGCACAACAGTCGTGAGGGATGAAGTCTCCAGGAAAATCATAAATAGCATGCACGAGAATGGAAACAATACAAAACAGGAAAACTGGTGTTTTTCCATTCTCCACCAACCAACCCCACCCACTACATTCATGCCCAGTGGAAACAATACAAACTTACATTCTTGCCCAGTGGATTTTCACAATTCAGATCTCTCCTGAAGTTTGCCAGAAAATAATCAACAAGCTCTGGAGTGTGCACCAAGCATTGAATAGCACTGTTCATAAAACAGGTATTTCCAAGATTATACAATCCAGTCAAACCCAAAGAACCAGTGCAATAAGAGCCACTACCAACCACTGGTGTAATCCTTGAAAATAATTTCACTTTATCCATACAGCCATTCATCCTATGTGGCGAACTGGTTGAAGAGCCACCAATGTTAGACTCCTCTTTCTGATACTCGTCCTGCTTCTCTTCGTCATTGGTGGTAGAGGACAAGCCATACATTTTCAAATCTAACTTAACCTGTGCAAAATATCAGCATAACTTGTAGATAAACTATCGGAACGAGTATCATTCAGAAACCAAAAGTATAGGACAACCGCATTATACTCACACATATGGCAAGCACCAAATTCTAGATTCAATATTGGTATCGAGAGTATGAAAAACTTTTTTTCTTATAATACAGAAAGACAACAGGAAATGAAATGAAATGAAATGAAATGAATAAAAAAACATAATCAACAGCACAATGTCGGAGTTCATAACTTGGAGATTAACGAGCCAGTAAACATGTCTTTTCCAGTGAGATAAGAAATTTTGACAGGCTCTATATGTTCTCATATACCCAGGAGCACAGTAAGAAATAATGACAACGGCCAGATGCCATGATGTCTCTAGCAAACAAAGAAAATATGATTACCATCTCATCTGGTTGACCTGAATCCATGGTGTCAATACCAAATAACTGGCTTGTCTGACCTGAGAAGTCCCAGATATACAACTGCACATTGTCAAGTGAATGATCATCATTCAGTAAGAATTATCTCAGACTATCATATTGATAACTAACATCAGTGCTCACCGCGCTAGACTTCGAACAAAATATGTTGCATGCTTTGTAGAAAACTCCCCCTTCATTGTCCTTGAATTCACAAAGGAGGATGGTTAGATTAAAAAGACAGGGAATTACACCAAAAGTATCCAATCAAGCATCAAATTACCATTCAGAAGTTTCGACCTTATGTTAAATCAACTTATTGCTAAGAAAAAATTATGATGAATACTTTTTAATATATGAACAAGTGAATAGCATTTAGAGAAGTTTGATGAAGGAGCAAGAACTTCAAGCCCAAGTAGTTAAATAACAAGGTTTTTAACCACTCGTCTGCAGACATATTGCAAGAACACTAGTCATAAATAAACACCCAATCAAATGCTTTTAATTATAAATAAGTAATAGATGTCTATGCATTCTTAAGCACTTCTATTAATTAAATCAGTCTTTCTCTGTAGGCATCTACTTAGTATTTATGTACTGAACCATGTACAAGTAATTTGCCCTTTTAGAAACTCAAATTTATTCAACAGTTTCAGTTAGGCAATCAGAATTATATAATTCAAGGATATCAAGTGGCAACTATGTTTTAGATTTGTTACACTAATTTGAGAAAAAGGGTCAACGCAACTGGGAACTAGCTTGCTGCTTGCCCAACCGAATTTCACAGATACAAGTACAAGAACCACAATGTATAATGATTGAATATAGAGAAACGGAAGCTGATTTGTTAATGAACCTTTTCTCTAATCTTTATGACCAAATGCCCTTCCCTCATAAACCAAAGTCTAATCTTCAGAGAGAATAAATCATGTGCACCATTGTCTCCATGTAATGAACTTTCTACATCCTCCTTATCATAATGCCTGCAATCGAAAAGCAAAAGGTGTAAAATATTTGACTTCTGATAATGTCTGCATAATACCGCCATTGAAAGTGCACAATTACAACACAAACATCCAACAATTAAAGGGCTTCCATTGATTTCGTTAACAAAAATGGATTCCTAAGCATGGTAAGCCTGCATTTCAAGAAGACACCTACTGAATCTAATTACATGAAAAATCCGACGGCTACAATAGTAAAAATATGACTTTCCAACTCTCAAGTATATCAATGTTACAAGTCCAGATTCAGATCGCAACGAATATTACATGATCAAACACGAAAACTGAAAACGCATTCACCAAATTGTCATAAATAAACCATAACCATATTATCGCTAGCGCAACACTGGCATTCACTATAACACCAGCCAACAACAAAACTACATCATTACAATAAACTTGTGTTTGCATGCAGATAACATAAAAGGTAAACCTATTACTACAGCTAAATCAATCACTCTCACACTCTCACCATTTAAGAGCAGTGAAAAACATCCACTCTGACACCAACGCCAAATCCCCATCGCTGCCAGAAACCCCTTCCTGCCCACTAACCTCAGCCTCCCCTTCCCTTCTCATACCCACCAAAATCTCAGGATCCCTAAAACCCCCAATAAAATCTCCGTCCGAGTCGTCCTCCACCCTACCATCACTCAATTGCACCATCGCATTGTACAGAACGCTGCCAACTCCATCCATCCCCTCGGACCTGAGGCCGCCAGACACCGCCTCCTTCCACCACCTGCACAATTTGCAGCAATTAAACACTAACATCACGGAAAAAAAGAGTAGAACTGTACTTCGTTTACAAGAATTTAAAAAAACCTTAAGGGAACGAGGAAGATGGACTCGCCGGGGTCGGAGAAGGAAGGGGGCAGAGAGGAGTGATCGAAGCTGGAGAGAACAACGTCATCGTCCTTGGAGAAGAGGAGCGAATCCATGAAGCCCAGGGGTTTGGAGAGCAGGCCGCGGAGGAGAGAGAGAAGGAAGAGAGAGGATACGTCGTAGAGGCGGGAGAGCGACGGGAGGTGGTGGAGGGCTTTGTCAGTGGTGAGTCGGCTCAGGAAGCGGCTCATCTAGAAGCCAGCAGACGGGGAAGGAAATCGTTGAGACGACATGGAGAGATG